TCAGGGATTTGGGGGTCCAGACAGGCCTCTGTCAGGTCTCCTCCCCTAGGGACTGGCCAAGGGCTGGGCCATTTGTTTTATGGAAGGAAGCCTGGGAAGGGTGTTGTTAACCACAGGAAAGAGGCGGTCCCTGGCAGTTCTGGGGACTCCCTAAGGAGGAGGTGGAGGAGGACTTTTCCCAGGGTCCACACCTCCAACTGCCCAGAAACTCCTTCACTGACCACCTCAGAGCTGGGCAAAGAAAGTAGAGCTGCTAAACAGCCAGCAACCTCGGCCCCTCAAAGTTGAGCCCACACTGCTCTGCAGGGCCTCCAGGCCTCCGTGATCAGCCCTGCTGCTCAGCCTTGGACTTCAGCTCACCGACCTGCTCTGCACCTTCTAGCTTGGGCACGTCCCTCCTGGGCAGCACCCTGCCCCCTCCCTTAAATGGGGCTTCCTCATCTAGGCACCAGGAAGAACTCTCCCAGACTCTGAAACAGAATCACCTCCTGCTACCAGGGCAAGGAAGCCGATAAGGATCCTCTGGTCCATCCTGCACCACCTGAGAGCAAGAATTGCTCCTGTGCCCAGCTCTCTACCGTGCAGACGTTAGCTAACAGACTCTAGGAGCTGGGATGAGCCAGGAACAGCCTCTACTTCCAGAGCTGCCTCACAGGGCTTCTAGACCGCCAAACAATAAATTCCACGGCTGAGCATCATTCTTTGCCCTTTTTGTGCTCCATTCTCCCAGCAGTGATGGGCGAAGGGCCTGGGGGATCAGGATCTGGGATGAAGTTAAAACCATCCTCATGGCTCTCTGAGGCTGCACATGCTCAGTAGGCTCACTGAGTACCTGTTCTTGGATTGTTGGGATGCCCACTGACTCACCCCCTGCCATGGTGCACACTCACACAATTGTGTGTCTTCTTAGAGTGAGTGCATTTTCATCTTTTCCCCTGGGGGAATCCTGTGGTACCCTAGGCTGCAGAACATCCCCCACAGAGGATCTGCTGCTGTTTCTGCTGGCTTTCGGCTTAGCATGGGTTTTGTCATGTACACACATAACACAATATAAATTTGCACCTGGGCTTAGTGCAATGGCTAAATTGGCTAAGCCTCCCCCTTCAAGCACTAGGATCCCATATGAGTGCTGTTTTCATGTCCCAGCTGCTTCACTTCCGATACAGGTCCCTGCTTATGGCCTGGGAGAGCAGTAGAGGATGGCTCAAAGCCTTGGGACCCTGCACCCATGTGTGAGATCTGGAAGAAGCTCCTGACTTCAGATCAGCTCAGCTCTGGCCGTTGCAGTCATTTGGGGAGCAAATCAGTGGACGAAAGATCTGTCTCCTTCTCTCTATGAATCTGCCTTTCACTAAAAATAAATAAATCTTTAAAAAAACCTAAATTTCTACCTGGATCCAGGTTCAGGATGGGGAGGTCTGTTTCTCCCAGTCTCCCTCCCCTACTTTCCTGGGCCACAGGGATGAGTCTGTGTATGTCCATTTCTGGGCCAGCACCGTCCCTGTTCTGGTCCCAGTTTTATGCAGACTACTTCTCAGTGACAATTTCCTGCTTCTTGTGGGCTTGAGGTCCTGTTTTCCACCTGTAGTCACAACACTGACATCTCCCAATTAGGGCTGGCCTCCCGTGTGGCAGCCTCAATCTCCCACAGGTGCAGACCCTTAGTCTACCTGGGCTCTGCTATGGGAAGCTTATCGCTCCTTCATGTGGGCTTGGACCTGGCCAAGGGCATTCAGAAATGCCCAGGAGCATCTCTAGCAGCACTGGGAATTCTGGCTGCATCTCTGTAAGTGCCTCTCTCACTATGGACTCCAGCAGCTGGGCCAAGCACTTGGAGGAAGGGGTGTGGCGGGGACTACTGGGAGAGACACTGTCCTAGCTAGCAGCCATGGGAGCCAAGGGACAAAGGCTGTTCATCTCTTCCCTGCTCTAGAGGGTCCTGGGACTTCTGAGGGGGGTGAGGGTACCCCCCATGGGCCTTTGGTTGAAGTAGAAAGGTGATGGGAGCCTGCAGCCAGCACGCCCCAGTTCTCCCGCTCTCATCTGGCCAGCCCCCTCTCCCTTATCACTTAGGAGAGACTCAGCTGCGTTCCAGACCACCAGCCCAGAGCAGTGGGCTGGAGAGGAGAGATGCTGCCGAGCCCGAGCAGCCTAGCAGCGGAAGGGAGAGTGGGTGATAAATTTAAATAACCAGCTTGACTTGGCAGCTTGCTGAGTTGTGATGCAGTGAAATTAAAATCTCGACAGAACTCACAAACGCCACCCAGAAAAATCCGTCTCCCTCCTTGGTTTCAGGGGCGGAAGGCGAGGAACAGAGCCTATCGGGCTGAGCCTGGGCCTGTGGCAGCCACCTTTGCTTGCAATGTGATTAGCTGTGTCCTGGCCTGCTGAGCCTCCCTTGCTCCTCCACACAATAGGCCAGGCGCCGCTCTCCTCTCAGCCCTGACCTTGTGGAACAGCTGCATCAAGTGGCTGGTGAAGTTTGCAATCAGTTTCCAGGGCCAGGAGGTGGCAGGAATCTCAATAAGGCCCCCAGCTCTTCAAGCGGGGACAAGGGTTTCCAGGCCAGCTTTCTCAGGACCCAACCCTTAGGGCATGCAGCCTGGCTATCCCCACAGGTGCCCGTGGGTGGGGAGTGAGGGGAGCCCTCGGCCCGCAGGGTGTACCCTGACCAGGCTCTGCCCTCATCTGTAGCACACACCTGTTCAGTCACCTACCTGCCTGAAAGCCTCTACTTCCTCCATCAGGGCATCGGAGCCCTTTGTATTACCAACCACACAAGCTCTTGAAGACTGTGATAGCAACTCCTACCAACACCATCAACCCAAGCCCTTCCCTCACAGATGCCACCGTCTTTCTAGAACTCAGAGTTCAGGTCCTCTGAATCTGTTCTGGCCTCTCCATTCCCTGCTACCTGCAGGCCCATGGGTTTGACCCACTCCTGAGGGCTCTGGGAAATGACCGGTTTCTCACCTTGACAGTACTTCCAGCAAATTCTGTTTGTCCCCATGATAAACATATCATGAATCATTCATCTTTAATAGATTATGCAAATTAGGAGGACATAAAATCAACAAAGATCAATAGCTGCAGCCGTTTAATTGCCAGCAAAAACATTTTAAGAATGAGCGTAATTGGCAGCCCTTTCTCGGGTAATGGCGCTATTAATCCAAACACTGGATCTTGGCCTCAATGTGGAAAACATCACTCCCTGCCCCCACTCTGCTGCCCCTCCCCCACCTCACCACACACTTCTCTCTTTTTGGTAATTTCCAGTTTCTGAGCGAGTTTCCCCGTCATTACCACTGGTGAACAGCTCCGAATGTTAATGGTTCTGCTTTTGTTACTCTTCGCTTGATTGAAATGTCGCATACAGATTGAGACGTTAGTGCTAACTTGCCACCTGGGAATGTCAAGCTGGGTCTGAAATGAACTTTTCTCACACTTGGATCCAGATGGATCAGCCGGAGATGTTCCCAGGCTGAGCTGGGACCGTTCCAGGGCCATGGGGGGAGGGGATGGGAGAGAAGTGGGTAGGGGGTTGTGCAAGGTGGAGGCACATTTTGGTCAGGGCCCAGGGTCTCCTGCAGTGGCAACCGGATCCGAAGGTCAGGGTATCCACTCCAGGAAGTCCCCAAGCATGGGGCAGCACAGCTGGGTCAGAGAAAAGGCTGCTGGCTTTGTGTTTTCCCCAGTGGCCCAGGGCCACTGTGGGAGCTGACCACTAGGCTTCTCAGTGGCCAGGACAGAGACAGCCTGGCCACATATCAAGCAGTTCAAGGAGCTTCTGCATGTGGTTGCAGAGGGCTGCTGCCAAGCGCCACTGAATCACGGCTGTCCTGAATGGTGCACCACTCCCCAAAACCCAGTCCAGTTTCCCAAGGCTTCCACAAACCCCCTAGCCCTAGAGTCCAACACCATCTAGGCTGCAAACAGTTGCACTAGGATATCCCTTTCCAGAAACCCCAGGCTCTCCTCTGCCTCAGGTGGAGATGGGCTCACTTCAGGAATGGGCCTTGCTCAGACTGATGCCACATCACAATCAGGGCCCCATCCTATAGCGGGAGGTCCACCCTGGTCTCCCTGCTGTAATGCTGGCTGCTCACAACCCTGCCGTCAGGTTGCAGGCTACCTCTGCTTGCCTTGCATGGCAGCTAATGTCTCACTGTCTCTTAGGCCCCACAAAGATCTTTCCTGGTCATCCCATCTCCCGGGAATAAACAGCACATTGGCTTTAGCATCTCCAGAATAATTACATGAATTTTAATAATACCTCAATGTGTTTCTCTCCCACTTGGGCACTCTCCTGGCCTGGAAAACCGTCTACCGTCTGTAGCTCTGAGACCTGAAGCTTCGGCTGCTGGGCCCTACCCTGCATGGCCACCCTGGCTGTCTGTATTGCTGATTCCTGGAGACTCCTGGCCATGTCGCTCCTTTCTCCTGTATTTGACCCTGTATTTGATCCTGGCCTTGAGATCTGACCTCAGTGACTTCTCTGAGAAACAGAGAAAGGAAAGAGACAATAGCACAAAACTCCCTAGAATTGGGTGCCACACCCTCATGTCCAAAGCCATGGTCTCTTGTGCTGCCTGGAAGGAGAGGGGCATGGGTCTCCCAGGAGCCTGAAGGATACAAGAGCATGAAGGCTGGACATCAAGCACTCCCATTCCCCTCTTGTCAGCCAGGGCTATTGGCATTCTGCACATGGGGCTCAGAAAGCTGGGCACCTTGCGGCAGGCAAGGGAAAGGCAACGAAAGAGGCAGGAAGACAGAGAAGCCGCATGCAGCCCCTCCGATGGTTCAGCTTTCTCTGGCCTGAGCCCACACACCCCGACAATGAGCTTTTTTTCCTTCCCACATCTTTACACATCTGTTCAAGGTGCAGCCTGGGTTTTGAAGGTACTCTCTCTCCAGAGATCATGGCAGGGGGTCCCACCTGTCACGCTGGGCCCCAGATGGCATGGGCCAAGGTGCCCCCACCCGCCTGGAAACCCCCTTACCGGTCACCACAGGATATGTCTGCGTGCCTGACACGTTGCTGCCCAGCTCGGGGTTGGTGGACGCAGATAGACTCGACTTGACTTCATCAAGCCCAGGGGTCAGAGCTGGGAGGGAGTACTCGTTCCCCTGGGAGGAGAGAGAAACGCGACAGCTCGCTATTGATGTGCATGCCCAGGCGGGGCCTGGAGTGCAGATGGGGAGGAGGAACAGGCGGCCCTCCCAGATGGGGTAGCTGGACAGGGCCAGGCAGAGTGAGTGGCGAGCAGCAGGGGCGGGAGTATCCTGCAGGTGGGGGCAGGAGGTATAGCCTACCTGCGTAGTTATTCAAGTACCCTTTATACTTCCTGCCAGAGAAGCCCTGGGGATGGCGGCTGAGGGTACAAAATGTATTTGGGGGCTCCTGTGCTCAGGAGGTGTGGCATCCAGGTGGTCCTGGCATAGGGTGCCTTGGGGAGGAGGGGCAAACCCCGACAGGGGAAAGGCCTTGGGGGACCTCCAGCTGGCACTGCTGGACTCACGGATCGGGCAGGGGAGCCCCTTTTTCAAAAAACAAACAAAGACAGCCCCGTGGGCCCCTCGTGCTCTGCCTGTGCACTGGGGTATGAAATTGGGGAGGGGGAGAGTCCACATGGCCAACAGAAGGATAGGAGGGGGCCAGCCATTGATTCTGAAAGGGTGTCCTGCCCGAAACCCTTGGGTAATTGCCTTTTTATTGCAGCCACCGCCAAGCCAGACCCCAGAGCTGGGCAGGCCTGGAGCCTGCACAAAGCAGGAAAAGTTGCTCTGATTAATATTACGTTAAATTAAAACTGATTTTCTGCTCTTTCGGGTCCGTTTTTTTGCCTTCCGTTTCCTGCCCCCCCACCAGAGGACCCCCTCCCCTCCCTGGCTGGACGGGATTGCCTCGTCATTTCCAATTCCTTCTCGTATTGATCTTCCTGTAGAAATCAGTTTTGTAATTAGCTGCAAATTAGGCCTTCTACTGGGGGTGAAGCTGCCCCCTGATTTATCACCAGAGTAATTCGCTGTGATCGGAGAGAAATTAAAATGAACTCAATTAGGCTTCGGATTTGCTTTATGGGCCCTGCTCCGAGTTTCAGGGGGAAAAATGACTGTGCTGGTGTTTAATAGTCTAATGAAAGTAAATAAAGGTTATTCATTGTAATACAGCCGGGGACTCAGGGAGGGTGCACCGAGCCGCCCGCCTCGGCCGGCTCCTCCTTTGTTGGTTTATGGCTCAGGGCACCTTAAAAAGACTTTTGATTTTTGTTTTATGAAGACAAACAGCTTATGGGATAAAAGGACGGGCGGGGAGAAAGGCGAGCGACTGTGAGCTGGTGGAGTCTCAGAGCAGAATTGCTGGTGTGCACGTGTGTGCGTGTGTGTATGGGCAAGCACCATGGGTGGTGTCACAGTGGGCTGTGGCTCCAGCTTGGGCTGTGTGTGCATGCATATGTGGATGGGTGGCAGCATGCCCCATCACTGAGGTGTGCTGGCAACAGGCTTAGCTGGTGACCTGCGGGCAGCAAACACCACTGGCTCTTTTCAGCTGAGGGGGTGGCACTGCCAGCAACGTGCACTGTGCGTGCAGGAATGGCCGGGAAAAGTGGTCATGTCAGTACCCTGATGAAAACCACAAGCCAGAGATTAGTTTCTGGGCTATGTACTGTCCCAGGCTACTTTCCAACCTCTTCTGTCCACCTTGTTGGGTGGGGGGGTAGGCTGTCACCTCCCTGGGGATCACACCAGGTAGCTGAGTAGGGAGCAAGAGGCAGGCACAGGCCAGCTCTTTCTGATGCTGGGCAAAGAGAGTGCCACAAGCCTGCCTGGAGTTTCTAAAGACCCCCAGGGCAGAAAATGAGGAGACATACAAAGATGACATTCCTGAGTGCTCCATGGCATGGAACTTCAGAACTAGAAGAGACTTGGGAAATCTCAAATCCAGGCCCTTTATTCTATGGATGGAGAAACTGAGATAGCATTTATTCCAGGCCAGACCTTTGTATCTGGAACTCTGGTCATGTCTAATTAGCATATGTATGCCATATTGACTTTCCCTAACTCTCCCATGATGGGCTGGTGCAAGCACATTCATGCAGCCCAGGTATGGATGCCTGTATGGAACATGTGTGGTGCTGTTCTCAGGAGACCTTGACGTGCTCAGCTCCTTTCCATTTTTCCAAGTGGGCAGTGCCCTCCTCACCTGTTCTGACTTGATGTGCTCTGAGGCCTGGAAGACGTCAGGATAGGAGGGACGCTCAAAGACCCGATCCAAAGCCTCCAGCTGCTGCTGAGTGAAGGTGTCAGCTCTCAAGTGCTTCCGCAAACTGTCCACGCCACTCTGGGAGTCTCCATTGGGAACTGAGCCCTCCGATACATCTGGAGAACACACGGACACTTGGGGCATTAGTGCCAGGCCAAACTCAGGACTAGCGCAGTGGGCCCTAGTTAGCTAGGGTGGGCCCTAGCTCTGGTCCTCAGAGGGGAGGTCTGTGCTCCTGCAGGACCCTGCTCTTGCAGTTACTAGGCTGTGGAAGGGTGGGGGTGCTGGCCATGTCTCAGAGACCTGACCCAGCAAGCCTGAGTTTCTTGAGGACCTGGGGGAGGGGGGGTCACAGGGACAGAGTGAGGTGAGGGGACAGAAGGACCCCTGGGGATAATCTTCCCAGGCACCTGGCCCCTGCACCTGCCTGAAACAGGAGCTGGGAGTCTCAGGCTGGTATCAGCGAGCCTGTGGAAAATTGAATCCATTCCAAGATGATTTTCAGTTCCACTGATTCCAAGGGTTGAAATCATACAATCTCAAGGCTGAGTGTTACACGGAACGGAGTGAAATAATTAAGTTCCCTGCCATGAGAGAGGGCTCCAAGAGCATACCTAACGTGCTCTGTGGGGCTGGGCCAGGCCTGAGACACCATGGGATGAAGCAGAGGTCATAGGAGCTCAGCAGCGCCCAGGGGCTGAGCCTGCAGGAGGCCTGGTGAATGCTGCAGGAGGGTCTGGCCTTCCCCGCCCCTTGCTATGGCTAGCCTCTGCCAGCTGCGTGCAGAGCCATCTTCTGGGTTCCTCCCAGGTTCTCCCTGAGAGCTGAGGTTTGCTCCAGACAGAAGGGCCAAGATGGTGCTCACTGCCCCAGGACTATGGGCTGACCTTGTCTGCATCAGACTCTCCCCACTCTGTCATCCCTGCCTTCTACTTCAGGGTCCCCTTCTAATCCGCTTCCAGCGGACTGAGTGTCTGTTCAGCTGCTTTTCCCTGAATGCCCAACCTGCAACTCTTCTGGATGAAGGTTGGGTATCCCCAACCCAGTCCCAGCTTGCCAGCTCCTTGGCTTCCCTTAGCCCAAGACCTGCTGGGGAGCCTTGGGCCTGGGGCCAGCCTGCGCCAAAGGCCCCAGGGTATTCCTCTGGGACTGTTATATATATCAGTTTATAGGTGATTATACGATATGATATAATCAATATTGCATTATATACAGTAACACCGTACAGTATCATTCGGGAGACCATAGAAAATATTACATATTGATTAACCTCAACCTGCAGCCGTCCTCCCTCACTGGCTTCCCAGATGGAGCACGGGGTTTGCTTTCCTAAAGGGACCTCCCTCATCTTCCATCTACACTGTCTTCTGGAGAAGGTGTGAGAGCAGAGAGAGTGTATGTGTGCGTTTGTTTGTGTATGCACAGGGAGAGAGAAAGAGAGGAACACAAGACTGAGATCAAGGCTGAGGGCAGCTGGCACAGGCAACTTTGGTGGTAGCCTATGTTCCTACAGGCACAAAGCTCCCTGGTCTTTCCGGGTAAGGCTCCAGAATGGTTTTCCGTCTCCCACTCATGAGTGGGGTGCACCATGTTTATCCCTCCCTTTGGGGTGAGCGTTCTCAGCACAGGCACTTACGTGTCTCCCCACATGCACATAAACAAGGCCGTGAGCTCACACAGCAGAGTGGGACACAAGCTGGCAGCACAGCGTGTATGTGTCACTGCCCCCAGCTTCCCTGCCTCTGGAACCCACCTCTTTCTCCAGGAAGCACCTATACGCTCAGGCGGTCCTCTGTGTGCGTGGTCTCTGGGCTAGGTTCCCTCTGGCTGGAGCCCTGTTCCTTTCCAAGCAAACCCTGCCATGGCAGGGTGTGGTGGAGGGGGACAGGCAGCTGTGCCTTTGTGTGTGGCTCCTGCCGTGTCACCACACGGGCACTTGGGAGCACAGCATGCATTTGTGAGTGTGGGGCACTCACTGTGTGTGTGTGTGTGTGTGTGTGTGTGTGTGTGTGTGTGTGTGTGTGTGTAGGGGCTGAGCCGGAGCTTTGTCCTCAGGTCACTGGCTGGAGGAGTCTCTCTGCCTTCATTTATTCAGGGCCCTTCAGATCTTGACAAATCTGTCACTCTAAATTTGCGAGAGATTATGGTGCTCTCTCCCCAGCCCGCAGAGAGGTGATATATGATATCTGCTGCCCCTATTGATTGCCTGATCTGGTGGCAGAGGCCGGCGAAATGAACTTGAAATGAACATCATGCCTCAACTCATTGTGCGTATAATACACTACTTAATCCCACATTTTTCAGCCGCTATGGAATTCAATTGATCAATCATGTTCCACTGATAGTACTGTTTTAGGGGTTATTGCTGCTCCCTCCACTCACTGACCTTTTTATTTATTTATTTTTTTGTATACTCGGCACACCCCCACCCCAGCGCCAGTGGTAAGACAGGTTACTGAGGCAGCAATGGTGAGACAGGGAGAGGGTGGGGAGCGGAAGGCAGAGGAAGCCTGCTCCTGGGAGAGGTGGCAATAGGGGGTGGGGATGGAGGAAGAGGATGGGGGGACGGTGGTAGGAGAAGGCGGGTGCTGGAGGAGTGGGCAAACAAAGTGGTGTGATGACGCGACAGCAGCACCAACCAACCCCCAGAGAAGGAAGGAGGCAGCCAGCAGGGTGAGGAAGAATGGGGAAGAGGCACAAGCAAAGTTAGGGAGGTGTGGAGATGGGCCTCCCGGGGTGGGCGAGGGGTAAAGGGCAGTGGTGGGAGCAGGGAGGCAGGCCCTCTCATCAGCAGCTCTCTGTGGAGGAGGTCGTGGCTCCCTGGCTGTGGGGAAGGAATAGAAGGAGGGCTGAGGGCTGGGAAGAAGCAGACTGGGAGTGAGGGAGGGAGGCTGGGAACAGCCCTGGGTCAGAAGGTGCCAGGAGGAGAGGCCAGGAGGGCAAGGAGAGGGAGGGGATGGCTCTGACTCCCCAAGGCCTAGGCGAAAGTGGGTTTAAAGGGAAGGAGGAAGAGGAGAATGCTGAGGAGGGGCAGAGAAGAAAACAAAGCAGTTGTCAGGTAGCGCTGACCACTTGCAGGGCCCCCCCAGGACAACAGAGGGGTGCTCAGGGTGCGACTTTGCTGGGGCAGTTCCTCAAGGTGACGGCCCAGAGGATGGCTTGGTGTGTCCTCGGATGGAGCCACGCACCACAGGTGTTGGCAGGAGCTCCTGGCCCAGGTCTCAGAGCGAGACAGGTTGGTAGTAAGCAACACTACCCACCCCATGGAAGATCTGCCATCCACCTGCCCCCTCGAGCCAAGAGGCCAGGGACCAGAACTGGAGCATTTCTGTAGCTTCAGGACCCGCCCTCGCACACAATAAGGACTTGATAAACGATAAACGACCTACTGAGTGGGACTCTCCTGGGAAGCATTTAGAGCTGTGGTTACCTGGCTGGCCTGGTTTTAAGGACACCAGTAGCCACCAGGCATGTCACCCATGTCCCTGGCTATCACAGAGCATGGAAGGCCCCATGCACGAGCTCTGCACCCACACCCACTGCTTGTTAGCCTCCAACAGCACCCTGTCGGCCATCTGCCCCAGCAACACCAAACTGCCCACCTCCCCCTACCTGCTGAACAGGTAGCAGCTGAGCTTGACCTCAGAGCTGCACAGCTGCCAGGCAGAGCAGCTGGCAGAGGCTGCCTGAGAACGGGACCCAGAGAAGGCTTCTGCCTTCAGACTCCCCAAACCACAATGGCTGATGTGGAAATGGGGGATGTGCATGTCCTGGGCTTTCTGGAACCATTTGGATCCCTGATATTCTATTCTGCTTTCAGACTTTAGACTATAGTTAGAAAACACGGTTGTGGTGAGTTTAGAGTAGAGGGAACCATGAGCTAATCGAACGCCCACGTGGATGGATGGAGGATCCAGCTCTGCCCAGCCACCATTAAGTAGCAGTTTACAAGCACCAGGGGTGTATTCCATGCCATTAGTGTCCTTTATATACTTCATTTATGCCTTCCAACATGGTAAATACTGCCATACCCATTTCATAGATAAGAGACCTGAGGCAAAGGGGTTGAACAGCTTGTTTAAGGCCATGTGGCTAGTCAACAACTGCCAGGATTTGACCTCTATGACCTGGGTGCCAAACTTGGGGCCAGCTGAGGGTCACTTGATCCCCTGTTGGGTGCAGCATCCAAGTTATCTGCTTTTCATGGTCTCTGCTCTGAGGCCCAACCATGAGGTACATGGGTGTTCAGCCTGTACCCACATGGTCAGGAGACAGCTGGGGCAGACCCTAAGTGTTTTACTAAGGAAAGGAGCTCACGTGGGCAGTGGGCGTCTTACCCAAGGCCACACAACTGGGTAGCAGGACTCTCAGAACCAGAGCCCATGCTGGGGCTCTGTCTACAGCAGTGTGAGCACCCTCAAGGAGAGAGCTGTCATGGTTGTACTTTCTGGAACACAGATAGAATATAAATAAAACGAATTCAACAAACCACTGACTTAAAGCTCTGAAATGGTTATTCTTTCTGCAGGAGCAAATCTCCTACTGTCTCCCTCTCTGACTGCTTCATATCTGCTTCACATTGAACAGCCTTCACAGCCTTGAGCTTAGGGGGTCCTCCCAGCCACACTCTGAGATAGGCAGGGACTCAATCCCCCCCTGAAGACACCCAGGCTCAGAGCAGGCAAAGCACAGACCAAGGAAGTGGAAGTGGTTGGCTTGGGGGCATGCAGGCTGGGGAACCTGGGACAGAAGCAGCTGTGTGCTCCATGGACGGGCCATAACAGCTGCTCAGCTAACACCAGAATTGGGGCTCCCAGCACGGGGCCTCCATCTCCACCAAAAACCAGAGACCAGCTTGCCTTGAAAGAGAGCCACAGCCATGAAGGTGGGGTGACTTCCTGATTGTGAGCCATTTTCATTTTCTTCCAGTGTAAATGTTTCCATATTGCCCAGGCTTGGTCCAATAAGCACCAACTACTTTTAGATCCGTTACTAAAAGCATCAACTGAAAGGTCCGGTTTGCTCTTTCACTGAGGCCTGCTATTTCCCCTCTGGGGCTGTTATTTCCCACATTCCGGGGCTGCCCTGGAGCTGAGTCCCCACTCCCATGGTCTAT